CCAATCACATTAGTGTTGATGCTCTCACTACACCTTGCACCTTGGAAGGGCCGAGATTCACATGTAAGCAAACGTCAGGCGGCAACCGACAGGTATACATAAGTTGTCAGAACGAATGTTGGCTAGAGATTGTGTTTTGCATGTTTCCCCCCCTCCTCCCCCTGCCCCTCTCAGTGGTGGCCCGAGTGACCTATCGCCAGATCTGAACGTCCAATCGCACTCTGCACTTTGGAAGGTCAAACTTCACATGTAAACGAACGTCGGGCGGCAACCGACAGGTATACATAGGCTTTCTGAACGAATGCTGGATAACGAGTGCGCGCGTTTCCCCACCCTCCTCCTGCAGGTCGGAGCTGATTCGGCTGACCGCGCAGCTGGGCGCGCGCAGCACTCGGCCGAAACAGCCGAAACAACGAACAAAAAAACTAAGGCTGGCGCGGCGGTGGCCCGGGCGGACGCTTCACTCCACGTGGGAAAGGCACCTTCTGCTCGACCAAACCTGAGCTCCACAAGGCCTCCTCGAGAATTGCCCCAATCGTGTTCACAGAAACAGCGTTGCCGATGAGCTGGCCCAACTGGCGCTGGCTGATCTTCAGCGTCGTCCACGGGATATCAGTCAGCTCGAAACCCTGTAGCTTGATCAACTCAGTCGGGGTTGTGCGGCGCCCCCTCGTAGAAATCCAAGGCCCACCATGTCCGCCCCGTGGCCTGGCGATGGTCTTGGCCTCGCCGATGCCGTAGGTTGCGAATTTAGGCGAAGCGTCGATGTCAACCAGGATGGGCGTGGAACGAGGGTCGCACCCGTAGTCGAAGCACTCCTTGTAGGCCGTCTTGCACGCATCCTTCTGGCGCTGGAACGTAGGCAGACGGCCCGCCATGTCGGTGGGTTTCCACGCGTCCAAGATCGCGTTGATGCTGGGGCACGGCTTGGTGATTTCGGGCCAATTGACTGGATGTTCGATGGCGTCTGTCCTGATGGCCACCACGAACACCCGGCGACGATATTGTGGAATGCCGTAGTCGCGTGAATAGAGCACGCTGTAGTTCACAATGTAGCCGGGGCGGATCAAGCCCTTGATGATGCCATCCAGCACGGGCTTAAGCCTTGAGTGGGCCAGCGTGAAAACGTTCTCGAAGATCGACACCCTGGGCTTCTTGTTCTTGATGTACTGCATGGCCTTCTTGATAAGCTGGCCAGTCTGCGTTGGCCCATTGACTCCCTGACGAAGACCGTTCTGGCGTAAATCCTGGCACGGTGGCGCCCACGTTTAGACGTCAGTATCCCCTTCCTCTTCGGGGGTGCGCTCTGTTATGTCTGTGAAGAACTTGCCAGGATTGTGCACAGCCTTGATGACCTTCTGGCAGGGCTTGGCCGAGTCGCTGGCGAAGACGTTCGTGGGCGGCATGCCCACGCGCCGCATTGCAACTGAAATTGGGCCCAAGCCTGTACAATCACTGCCAAGCTTGACTACTTTCGGGCGCCGTGGGCGGCGCACCTTAACCGTAGTGTTGGGCGGCGCCGTCGCGCCATCCCGGGCGAGCCCCATCGCTTGGTCGCGCCCGCCCGGGCGAGCCGCTCAGTGGTCCTAAATGGCATGTGCCGATGCAGCTATAAATGCGGCCCATGGGGAAGGGTGGAGGTCGGGCCATGATTGACGAGGAGGAATTGGAGAAGGAGGCGCTAGCTCTGATGCTTGTGCTGCGGATTCGAGCGAGCGAGCGGCTGCGGATTCGAGCGAGCGAGCGAGCGGCTGCGAGCCTCGCCGCTGCCAGCCATCCAAGACCCCCCACCTTCTGAGCGTGATTGCTGAGGGGGAACGTTAATTCTACAGTGCTTCTCGAGGAACGCTAACTCTACAGTGCTTCTCGGGGAACTCTAACCCTGCAGTGCTTCTCGGGGGCCGCTAACTCTACAGTGCCTCCCCCGTCATTTGTCCGACATATTGGGGTTGTGAATTCTCAATGCTACATTGCTTCTGACAGTTTCACTGCCTCCTCGTCTTTGCCCCCCCCTCCCCCCTCCCCCTGCCTCGCCTCTTGCCCCGCCGCCATTTCACGCCCAAGTATGCCATGCTGTTTAGTTGCGCACGTGGGCTGCGAGAAGCCAGTTCGAGGACCCCCCCCGAGCTGCGAGAGGCCACTTCGCGGACGTCCCTGAGCTGCGAGAAGCTTGTTCGAGGACGCCCCCGAGCTGCGAGAGGCCACTTCGAGGACGTCCCCGAGCTGCGCGATGACCTCTCAGCAGCTCGGGGGCGCCCTCGAACTGGCCTCTCGCAGCTCGGGGACGCCCTCGAAATGGCCTTTCGCAGCTCGGGGGCGTCCTCGAACTGGCCTCTCGCAGCTCGGGGACGCCCTGGACTTGGCATCTCGCAGCTCGGGGACGTCCTCGAAATGGCCTCTCGCAGCTCGGGGGCGTCCGTGAAAACGCCCCCGAGCAGCGAGAAGTCTAACGCGCCTCTCCTCGACGTGGCCTCTCGCAGCTCGGGGGCGCCCCCGATCTGCGAGAGGCGACCCCGGGGTCTGCCGCGCCCCGGGATGCGACGGACCTCTCCTCGAAGTGGCGTCTCGCAGCTCGGGGGCGCAACCTGGAAGATACGTCGGGCTGGGCGTCGGGCTGGGCGTCGGGAAAGACGTCGGTCGGGAAGGCCGTCGGAAAGGGCGTCGGGAACGGCGCCGGGAAAGCCGTCGGGTAGGGCGTCGGGAAGGGCGCCGGGAAAGGCGTTGGGAGGGCTGTCGGGAAAGTCGTCGGGTAAGGCGTCGGGTAAGGCGTCGGGTAGGGCGTCGGGTAGGGCGTCGGGAAGGCTGTCGGGTACGCCGTCGGGTAAGGCGTCGGGAACGGCGTCGGGAAGGCCGTCGGGTAGGGCGTCGGGTAGGGCGTTGGGTGAGGCGTCGGGTACGCCGTCGGGTAAAATGTCGGGTAGGGCGTCGGGCAAGGCGTCGGGCTGGGCGTCGCACCACCGTTAATCTGAACTGTGGCGCACATGGTCCCACCGTTGTCACTCTCGGTGAAATCGTACAGATCTTCACCGCACCACAATCGGTACTCCCCGGCCGACAACGTCTTAGCCGTAGTCGTTTGCCACGTAAATTGGGATTATGATTGAGAGCTGGCACCGGGAATTGTGTACCACCCACCATCATGCGTTTTCGTCACGGTGTTCCCGTTGTTGTTGTAGTCGGGAAACACTACGTTGTTGCTCGGGTCGGTCATGAAAACGCCGAACCAACCTGAGTTCCCCCACTTCGTGACCTCTTGCCCCCCCGAATTGTAAACGCTACCGCTGGCATATGTCATCAACACGTTAGAGACTGAAATGGCCGTGCTGACATAGAAAGAACCGTACGAATTGTCACGCGCCCCGAAACATACGGTAGGATCCGCTGCCGTCCCATAGCCGTACAAGTCCACTTGGATGCTGCCGCCATTGTCATGGAGCGATATTGAGCGGGAAAGCTCGTACCACGTGGCGAGAATCGTACCCCCGTTTGATATGTCGAAATTGGCATTGCAGATGATTTCGGTCGATCCGGACGCGTAGCAATTGGAAGGCAACGTGTGCCAATTGGATTGTGACACGATGTACCCTCCATTCTTCATGGCCTCGAACGAATTTAACCCACAACAGCACTGTTGCCAGACGGTGCCACCCGACCTCGCCGTATCACAGTAGATGTCGCTTCCACTTTGGTACACAGTTTCTAACTGCGTGAAAGAGCCGTAATTCAGTGGTGTCGCATATGAGGGCATCCGCTCGCCGTAATATTCGAAATTGTCCAGCAACTGCACCCATGTGTTCGTCGTGTTGGCACGGGACACCGTCTTGAGAGAAACCGCTGCGGGCATGTGGGGGGCCAAGAGTGCCGCCGCAAACACGGCCCATGGCGCCTTGAGGGCTGCCATGCTACAGAGCGAATGAAGTAAAAGTATCCCTTGCGTGTACTCAGGACTGGGTTTGTGTAAAGAAAGTACGGCCAAAAGGCAGTCCTCGATCAGAAATGGGTGCGGACGGCACTCGGGGCCGGGAGGATGATCGACTTTGAACCTCCAGGATCGAGGTTCGAGGTTCGAGGTTTTCTGACCTCGGAGAGCTCTCCTCGTCGCCATGGCTGGGTGCAGCTCGAAGGGCTGGTGCGCGTGGGTTCCAGGAAAGGTCCTCTTGGGGGGCTACTGGGATTTCTTTGGAGGGCCTCTTGGGCGCCTCCGGGTTTCTTGGGGAGCCTCGTGGGGCTTCTGGGGGTCCTTGGGGCATCTTGGAGACTCGTGGGGGTCTCTTGGGGGCCTCTTGGGATTTCGCGGGGGCTCCGGGGACGTTTGGGGGGTCCCTGGAGGGCCCCTCGGAAGCGTTCCGAGGCCTCTTGGGGGCCTTCTGGTGGCGTGTTGGCGGTGCGTGGAGCGTTGTGGGAGAATCTCCAGGGCGCCCTGGGGGCTCCGGGGAGCGCTTTGGAGGCCGCAGCTGCCCCTCGGAGGCGAACAAGAGGAGAAGGCAAGCAAGAATCACACATTCCTCTTTGATTTTGTTGTGAGGCCTCTGGCTTTCCGGTGACGCTCTGGAGGGACTCGTCCCACGACGCACTTGCGACCCGCCCGCGACCCACCCCGCGACTCACCCGCGACCCACCCGCGACCGATCCACACTGGTTTGAAGAAAATTTCGGCGCCTGCGGCGGGCTCACTGCATAATTCGTGAAACTTTGGCGCTGGCGCGTGCGGCGGGCTTCTCCGGTCTCGCAGACTGCCGACGTCCCCACCGCCCCCTCATTCTCATCCGCATCTGCAGGGTGCTACGTATTAAAACACACAAGACAGCCTCAGCAAGAAGTGTTTTAAGAACACTTCGTGCAGACCACAAAAGGTTCTTAGAACATTCGTTGGTGGGCCTATAGGCGAGCCAGGACGCGTCGCCACTGCCTGATTCACCTCTGACCGTCGTCGCCGTCCCGCCGCAGCCGCCGAGGCCGCCGCAAGCGCCGTCGGCGGCGGCGGAGCGGGCACGGCGCACCGTGCCGAGGCCGCCGACCACGGTGCCTGGGGACGCGGTGCCCGGCGAGCCCAGGCCGCCGACCACGGTGCCCGGGGAGCCCGGCGCCGAGCTGGGCGCGCTGCCCGCCTGCGGGGAGGGAGGAAGAGGAGGAGGGGGAGGAGGAGGGGGAGGAGGAGGAGGAGGAGGAGGAGGAGGAGGAGGAGGAGGAGGGGGAGGAGGAAGAGGAGGAGGGAGGGGAGGAGGAATAGGTAGGAGGGCGGAGGAGGAGGAGGAGGGGAGGAGGAGGGAGGGGAGCGAGGAGGAGGAGGAAAAGGAGGAGGAGGAGGAGGAGAGAGGAAGGAAGGAGGAGGAAGGGGAAAGGGCGCGCTGGGAGAGGGGCGGGGCTGCCGCCGCCGCGCGTGCGGCCGCCGACGGGTCCCTGCTCTCTTCTGCCCCCTGCTCTGCCCCCTGCTCCTTTTCTGTTCCCTGTTCTGTCCTCCTGCTCTCTCTCTCTCCCTCCTCCTCTATCTCTCTCTCTCTTCCTCATGATCCTGCTACTCCTCCTCCTCCTCCTCCCCTCCTCCTCCTCCGCCCTCCTCCTCCTCCTCCTCCTCCTCCTCCTCCTCCGCTCCTCCTCCTACTCCTTCTCCTCCTCCTCCTCCTCCTCCTCTTCCTCCTCATACTCCTCCTCCCCCTCCTTCTCCTCGTCTTCCTCCTCATTTTCGTATTAGTAAGATGCTTTCTCGCATTCGTAATATTATCCTCTTCGTGCTTCATATTACCATTATGAACAGTATTATTCTTATTCGTATTAGTATGCTGTCTCTTCTTCTGTTCCTGTTCCTCCTCCTGTTCCTCTTCCTTTCCTCTTCTTCCTCTTCCTCCTCTTCCTCCTCCCCCCTTCTCTCCCGCCTCCTCCTCCTCCTTTTCCTCTCTCCTCCTCCCCCCCCTCCCCCACCCCCTCCTCCTCCTCCTCTTCCTCCTCCTCCTCCTCTCCGCCTCCCCTCCTGCCTGCTCTCCTGCTGCTCCTCCTTCCTCTCCTCCTGCGCTCCTCATCTCCTTCTCCTCCTCCTTCCTCCCTCCCTCCTCCTCCTTCTCCTCCTTTTCCTCCTCTTCCTCCTTCTCCTCCTTCTCCCTTTTCCTCCTTTTCTTTTTTTTTTTTCCTCCTTTCCTCCTTTTTTTTCCTCCTTTTTCCTCCTTTTCCTCCTTTTCCTCCTTTTCCTCCTTTTCCTCCTTTTCCTCCTTTTCCTCCTTTTCCTCCTTTTCCTCCTTTTCCTCCTTTTCCTCCTTTTCCTCCTCCTCCTCCTCCTCCCGCTCCTCCTCCCCCCCATCCTCCTCTTTTGTGGGCGCCCGATGTGTGACACTTGCCGCCAGCGTTCATCGTTGAACGCCGCCAGCGATCCACGGGTCGTAGAGTTCGTCAACATAGTCCGGACCTGGAGACCCGTCCATGGGAGGTGGCCATCCTTCTGCTAGGAGAAAGGAAAAGAGAGGACAGAGGAAGGGGGATGATGATGAGGAGGAGGAGGAGGAGGAGGAGGAGGAGGAGGAGGAGGAGGGGGAGGAGGAGGAGGAGGAGGAGGAGGAGGATGCGACGCTGGCTGGCGGACGCCGCGCTCCGAGGTCAAGAGGCTTCGCTGGCGCCGCGCGCCAAAGGAAAACGGCGCCGCCCCCTCGGGTCTGAGAGCCCCTTTCCCGAGAGTCACGCGATCGAGCGAAGGCAGGGGGAGGATGGGTGGTCACCGCAGGCAACAACGCCAGGGCCGCGACCTTCATGGCCCAGCCTGCCTTCGCTGCCCTGGCCGCGCGCGGCGTCGACAGGGGCGCCCGGGGCGGAAGCAGACGCGGTCAAGGTCGCAGCCTTAGCAGCGAGAGTCTGAGCAGGGCAGACACGGCGAGAGAGAATACCGTGGGTGCTCTCAAGCTTCGAACCTTTCTTGCAAAACTGTCATCGCCAAAACTTCGCCCCAACGGGCCGAAGGATGCATCTAAGCTCCGCGCAGACGTCGCGGGAAACAGGGGCGGAGGCCCTGCGGGGCCTGGGCGACTTCCGACCTCGAAGTCGAGCGCCAAACAGTTCCCCCCCCCCCCAGAAAGGCGGTGACAGCCTGTGCATTCCAACGACGGACAACTTATATTGCCTGAGGCCAACACTCATTGCTTTTTCGCAATATCTCAGGAGCTGGGCGGGTGCCCCGCCCAAGGCACGCAGCGAATTCAGCCCATCGTTCGCCGACAGCATGGGCATGAGTCCCACGCTGATGGTCCCTGGCGAGGACCACGCTGAAACCAACTTCTAATCCCCAAAGGTCTTGAACTTTGCTCCAGATGGCCCCCCAAAGATCAACGTCCAGACGCCGAGGGGAACAGCGCCATCGAGGGCCGCCATCGGGGCCGTCCAAGAGGCCTTCGAAGTCCGCATGGACCACAACGGGGGGGAGGCGTACCTGGAGGTCCTGGCGGAAAGCGAAAAGCTCGGCCCGAGTAGATGACTGAACTGGGCCTGGCAGAGGCCCCGGCACCAGGACGTCGACGCCTTGCCTCGCTCCACGGAGCTCCCAAACCCCATCCCCCACGCGGGCCGCCTCGGGCCAATGCCGCATCCGCGAGCGCGCGCCGTCGGTGTGCGCGTGACAAGATCCCATGCGGATCACCCTAGTGTAACGCCCGTCAATCGCCATTAGTCCTCGACGGCATAGCGTGGAAACAACTGCGACTTATACCAGCCCGCGCGACCAGAACAAATAATCTCGAGACATGGCGGGAAAACCTCTCCGATCAAAGGTGCACATGAGTTCGGTTCGTCCCGTGTCGAGGAAAGGGCACGGCCATGCGATGTGGTAGATGTCACATGGTACCTGCCCACAATGCGGGCAACATGAGCCCGATCTGCATCCGCAGCGATGAACCCTGTCTGGCGTCCACGGGCCCCCCAGCCACGATCGCACAAAGAAAGCCGCCTTCCTTGCGATATGGTTGCCATTCTCGGGGAGGCTCGCTGGCCCCTCGTGCGTCATCGTCGCCGCCGGGTTCCACGTGCTGGCCGCCCGTATCCCGGTCGAGGCTGGAGTCTGGATCCGGGACAGGAATAGGATCATGGATCTTGATGATCGGTTCCACCCAAGAACCGATTGGTTAATTGGGGCAGAGGGGCTCCCCAGCCAGCTGCGGCCGCGATGCCCATCTCTCCCACGTCCTCCGAACTGCGGCCTCCCGGGCCAATGTCCGCATCGTTGATGGGGCGTCGCGCCTAATATCCAAGACCGTGCCCAAGTCAGCGCACCATGCAAACCCACTGGAGGCCGGCCATCTGAGGCCCCTGAGAGCAAGAACAGCGCCCACCCGCGGGCCCCGCCACATGCTTCCAGGGGGGCTTAGCTGCAGAATGTAATTTGCACGCCTGTGCGCACCGCGCGGCCTGCAGCACGTGCGAAGGTACAGCGGCGTCTCGGCTCAAAAGGGCCCACTGGAATAGCGGTGCTGTCCACGCCTCCACCTGCGGGCCTGTGAACTGCGAGCCTTAGGCAGGATGTCACCCAACGTGACGTACCTGCTCCTGGCGCGTGCCACGCCGATCTCTGACAAGCACGCATTCGATCACTTTGCCTCGGGGGAGCGCCATGCACTCCCAATTTCATAGGTCACAGCGGACGGCGCAGCTTGCATAGTGAATTTGGTAAGTCATGCTCCAGCCTTCCTGAGGGCACGACATCAAGGTCGACGACGAGCGATCCCCATCCACCGTCAGTCTCAACTTAGCGCACCGAATGGGCCGACCCGAAGCGACCTCAATCCCCGAGACTTCCAGGGCCGTGGCGCACTGGTACCCCAGGGGGGGGCCCAGATGATTGGATACCCATTGCCCGAGCTTGGGGGGTGCTGCTCGTAACTTTCATTTTGTGAGCAGCTGGCAGTGATCCCAAATATCTTAAGTACGTGAATTTGCAACCGAAGGAGCTGAAGTGACCATTCGCATATCTTAGAGAGGGGCCCTCGCATTCCAATCGCGATGTCATCCCCGTAGAGATCCAGCGAACGTGGGATAGATGCGGCGCGTCTCGCAAACGAGTCAAAGGCCGTGAACATTACGCACTGCAACGCAAACATGGCGAGCGGGCATCCCGGCAACGCGCCTCGGCGGGCGTGAACTGGCGTCGAGAAGCAACTGCCCCGTCCCAACCTCCTTTCTCCCATGCGCATCCTGCGCGCAAGCGACATGAGCTGGCCTGGAAATCGGTGGGCGGCCGCCGCGTGCAGCAGCGCGCCCCGAGGGACCTCGTCGAAACACTTCGCTGCATCCACAACCGCGCGCGCGGAGGCTTCATTCTGCGAAGTCTGATCTGCTTCAGCCTGGGCAATAATCCTGGCAGCTACGTCGGCGGCGGCGCGCCGAGACCCCAACGACAGGCAATTTCGCCCGAGACGCGATGCCCAAGATCTGACCTAATCGGCGCGCGCCCCGGCCCCGACACGGAATATAGAGGGAAGCAAGGCAACGGGGCAGCGCCCCCCGGACGGCCTGCCCAAGAGCACGATGCGAACTCGGGCCAACATGCTAGGCCACGCCTCAAACGTGTCACACAGGCACAGCAAGTAACCGAGACACGCCAGGACTCCATTCGATACCAAGGCCCAGCGCCGAGGCCTAAATCGATCAACGCCTACTTCAGTACGCCTTGGAAATTGCAGAGCTGCTCGTCGCAGTTCCGCAATTGCCTTCGGAGGAAGCCGAGGTCCAGTCATGCATGCCTGCCGGACGTCCTGGAGCATGCCATCGTCCGTGTCCCGTGCATACTTTCACTGTTGATAGCAGGCTCCGTGGGAGCCCCGCCCCAGACTTCGGCCCAGGAGCCCCTTTGATTCTCACTGCAGTCAATCTCAGCTCTCGACGGCCCCAAGACTGCGTGCACCTGAGCCATGTTCTATCCTCTCGGCTTAGACCGTCTGTGAATAGGTCTTGGCTGGGCACGGAGCTGATTCCGCATCCACATCGAAAAAGAGCGCACACGTGCAATAGCAAGTCGGCGCTCACCGACCTGCGCAAGTCTTCCAAGGTAATCGCCAAGGAAACGTAGCGTGTAAACGTACCCTGAAGTGGAGGAGAAATCGGATCGATGAGGTAGGTGAGAATCGCCGAGACTTCCGCC